TTTGTCAATCTTCAAAAATTAATATCTCGTTAACAATTGCGAATTTTGCAAAATGGTAGAGGACTTTTCGATCCAGTTTAATCTGCTCTACCAGCCCACGAGATATTATCCGGTTATTACCGGACACCCTGTATATATACCACATATATGTGTATGTTTGTGTATCAATTATTAACAAATATCATAAGGCATTATAAAAATATATTACTTCTTTCCAGGAGGTTCCCTTCTCTCCACAAAATATATAGCCTATATAAAGTAGATACAACTTCGCCTTTCTGGGGGCAGACTTATAACTCTCATCTTAATAACAAATGTTTATATGTATGGCAAGAGAAGGCACATGGCATCTCTCTCGCAACTATAATACTTCCCGCAAGAAATATGATCGATGTGCTGTGACGCTACGATCAAGTATGCGTGTACTGCGGTGTAATTTGTGTCCACACATTCACAAATTCGAAGCGTACCAAATATTAGATTGTGAATCCGGATTAAACAGTACCGTAGTCACAGAATCTAAACGCTTCGCGAAAGATTGATCACTTGTCCTACGTGTTGCATAATCGTCAATGTGCAAACTATTTGTTTGCAACGGTACTACGGTCGCAATTTCTTGCGGAAACGTTTGGGTACTCGAATCCATTACAGTTGTTACCTTTAACGGGACATTTTCCGCAATCCTAACACCTCTGTCACTTATATGCACGGGAATTCTTTGGACGTGATTCGAATTACAGCTGTTTTCCACAGCTAAATATTTTACAGGTTGAGTAGTGACGTTTTGCAGCAGCACTACGCGATGTCGATCGTCGACCGCTTTCGGATACGTACACAGATTATTGTTTTGTATCAGTGATAACGGTACTTTTCGCGTAGTGCTAGGTAAATTAACGCAATTCCCTACGCTGTTATCGTAGTCTCTCGTGCCGCGCAAACTTTCAGGCTGAACAGTTTCTTTATGAAAATAATTCGCTTGTTCTTTATAATATTTATGTGGACAATTGGTAGAATCGGATTGAGCAGTGACGTTTTGCAGCAGCACTGCGCGATGTCGATCGTCGCCCACTTTCGGATACGTGCACAGATTATTCTTTTGTATCAGTGATAACGGTACGTTTCGCGCAGTGCTAGATAAATTAACGCAATTCCCTACGCTGTTATTGTAGCCTCTCGTGTCGCGCAAACTTTCAGGCTGAACAGTCTCTTTACGAAAATAATTCGCTTGTTCTTTACATTTATGTGGACAATTGGTAGAATCGGAATAAATATGCTGTTCGTTGCAATGATACGCATTTTGATTAACTTGATTCTTGGTGCGCTCTACGTCTATTCTACTAAGTTGATTTTCCTGGCGTAATTCCGCATATCTTTCTTCGGTTTGAACATTTTGGGGAAAGTTTAACATTTGCGTTGGCATCGCTCTATCGTTAACATTATTGACAAGGATATTTTGATTCTGATCGCGGATATTTTTTCTGAGCTCTTGCTTGTCGACCTCATACACATGTAATTTAGTTCGTTGAGGAAATTGTTTTGTTGGCTCTACATTGAAATTAGAAAAACTTACATCTTGAAAATTATTAATCGGATGACAGTTATTTGAATGAAAAACATTTCTTTTCCTCACGTCTGATGAGATTTGTTTCTGTTGAGGCAGTTTTTCAATGTACGCATTTGTATTATTCGAAGCTTCGAAAGATCGCGGGGGATCACCACCGTATTGGTAAAATTCATTTCTTCCACTATGTTTGTTGGGATACATGTTTATATCAAACTGTTCAACTAGAGAATCTTGCGAATCTTTTATCTTCACCGAGTCAATTTGTGGCTCCAGTATTTTTGTTTGCTCAAACATCATGTTCACTGTGGCAGGTGTAGGACGATTTTCAAATGGATTTTCATATAATTGCTTTTCAATGCCGTTGCTTGGATCTCTATAATCTCTAAATAGATTGGTTTCACATTTCTTATATAAGCCATTCGCATAATTGTCGTTTATCCGTTCAAAGTGATTAGACTTATTAATGTCGCCACGATGTAGAATGGTAGGTATTCGTTTAACATTCTTGACATTACACTTATTTGTTGTTTCGTTACTACTTTTTTGAGGTACACCGTTTGTTGTATAATTGTCAGAAACAGCGATCTGCAATTTCGTACGGGAATAATCTTTCGCAAAATGTCTCTCTAACACAGAATTATTTAACATCGAAGCTTCTAAGTGTTTCGAATTATCAATACGTCGCGAATTCTCATAACCAGGAATGTCAATCGAAGAATTATCTTTATCTAGTCGTTTATTTTTTAAAAGATGACTAACGTAGTCAGGATTTTTCTGAAATTGAATTTTTATTTGAAGGCGAGATGCGGTAGTGCGATTTTCGTTACACTTAGGAACTTCGAATTCGACAGGTGACAACTGCGAAATGTCCGCAGATGTACAAGCTTGATGTTCCACAGAGTATGCAGATTTCACATTTTCCAATTCTCGTTTATTCTTTCTACGTGAAAGTTGTTGACGAAAAGATTCAGCGTATGTATTTCTTAATCTTTTCATTGTTGTTGTAACAGGATCTAAAATATAAATAATGGTTAGGGATTAATAAATTATCAAATAACGTCGTAAATAATTAGGTTACAATTATATGTAAATATACCTGGACAATCTGGTAGAATATCTACATCAAAATTCTCGGCGGAAATCATTTTGCAAAATTCTGTATAGCGACTTAATGGGTCACGCAATGAATCCTTGTTATTTGAACGTATTAGCTCTGTTTCTTTGCCATTACTTTCCACAGCATTACTTTCTTTCGTAAGATCGATAATATCAAATATTCTAAAATAAATATTTTATTTTACACTGTAATACAGTTCTTATTGGGCTTAATAATAACCTATGTTGTTGTTTACTTACTGTGGAGTAATAATTCCCAATTGTTCTCTATCATTTTCGAACAGTCTTCGCTTACATATGTTCTCTTTTTGAACATATCTTGATTCGTCATTAACATTTTGTTTTTTAATTTCGTTTAAATCTAACTCGTCTAAGATGTTTAACTCTCCTTTCTTTTTACAAGCAAAACACGGCTTCTGATTTTGACTGCAACATTAATAATATATGTGTGCAACCTTTACATGAAATATCTTTTCTACATTTTTGTGAAAAAAATCTTGTATAAATATAAATCCTATATGCAACAATGAACATACCCTTGTCTCTTTCCTAAAACAGGGCTTTGCTCTGGAATACATGGCGTCAATTCCAAATTGTCTTTCATATAACCTTTACTTGACGATTGTTTAGCAGTTTTATCATGTGTTGGAATCTTCATTATACGTCTATATAAAACAACACATTAAAAAGCTCGTGTGTCCACTAATGATGCGCCATATCGAGTTTAAATTAGTGGATTTGCTTACTTGGATTCGTGAGTGTCTCTATTGAGAAGTCCCAGTACATCTGCCGTTAGCCGGGCTTTACGGACTGTATCTTCCAATATCTCTGCTGCAAGATATTACAACGGATTAAAACAATTGTTTACGGATTTCATTGTGTTCGTCAACGTTACAAAATGAGTTTCAATGCGAGTACCTCTATGGATGTCTCTACTCTTTACACCATTTCTAAATATGCCAGCTTCCTGAAATCACAAAGCAGTGTTTAGAACGTAAATAATGAATATAATTTTAATGAAAATATCACGTATATAAGGTCACTTATCCAATCCTCGTATTGCAATGATATTTTCATTATTTATTATGTCTAAACACTGCTTCATGTGGTATGTTCTCTTTGAAGACGGTGCATGCACTTTCTTACACGATACATCTTCCCCCCTTTTTTTCTTCTTCACGTTGGAGAAAACAAGAGAAGAGACGAACGGGATGCATGCACTGTCTTCAAAAAGAACATACCGATGATCTCTTCAGTTCCGGGAGAAGTCTCCTGGAGATTCTCGCTCGGCCTTGCCTCTTCTGTCCAGCTTTGTTATCACCCTTTCCAACATTATCCTGTAACAAATTCCAACTGTATCTCAGTCGTACGAGAATAACGTCGTACGAGACATTAAAAAAAAAAAAAAATAGCCCGTGCAAAATTACATTTCTTCGTCGTCCAAGCAGTAACTATAATCTAAGAGTCTCACGGTAAAAGTTCCGCCGGTGTCTGGTACACGCTAAAGTTTTCTCTCCCCGAACACGATAGTTTCGCGGATTACGAGAGTAGTTCCACGAGATTATTACGACGACTGCACCACGGTCTTAGCTAAGCCTCTCCGACGGCGTAACGCGTGTTAATGGTCTCCATCGAGCCGCGCAAACGGAGAGATTATCGCTGCACGAGGTCCGGTAAACAACGCACCAGTAAACACCTGACGTTGACACTAACCTAACACTATGCGCGGAAGCTACGGCGTCTCCGACTCCATGCCACCTATTCTACCCCAGCCAGCGCGGCGCTTTTTGAAAACGGCTGGCCGATAGTCGCGTAGCGCGGCGGTATCGCCTTTTTCACGTAAAATATCTAATCGATTGTGAGTCAGAGAGCAACTCATTGTGCAACGATCGTGCTGCATTGCTCGCAGTACGCGCGACGTTCGGCGGATCTAACCACGCGTACACGGATAGTGCCCGCGCCGCGTCCTCGCAAGTGTCCTTGTGCTCGTCCTTGAGAGAAAGAGAGAGAGAGAGACTCGTCGGCGTCGCGCCATTAAGACCGGGCATTCCGCTCGGGGTGAGGACCTACCAGCTTCTGCTTAGCCTGCAGGATCTTCAAGTGTATCCGGTCGAGCTCCTTCTTCCGTCGCAACTTCCGCTGCGGCTTCTCCTTCCGGTTGGTGGATGATGATCTCGGCGTTCCCATAATCTTACCCATAATCTCGTGTAACAATAATGTCCCAGGCACTCGCGGCGAGTTAATAAACGTGCGTAATGTTTGTGCGTATCCGTATGCGTTTGTCAAAATCCTGCCTGCGACGACAAAACGGCGAGAGGTGGTGAGAAGCGGTACACACCAGTCGAACGAGTCGACGACGACTGACAAATACCTACCTTCACGCACGTACGTTTATATTTACCCTCGCTCTCTCGTAAGTGTGCATTGTAGGAAATTTGATCTTCTTTTGTTGCGCCCATGACGTCACCGGGTGAGAGGCTTTAGAGAGGGAGGAATCATTTGTGATTCCGGCACGAGGGGTCGTCTGAAAAACGGAGCAATGGTGATTAAGGTACGGTTTTATCGAGCAAGTCCCAGTCAAAAGTTAGTCTCTCCACCCGACTGATAATTCAATAAAAACAAGCGTAAATCAATAAAAACATTTTGCATAGGCTGTACATATGCGATTGTGTGACGATTATGTGACAACGTCACACTATCTAGTTGGCGTTGAGCGATATAAAACCACCTTAAATTCGGAGCACGCCACCACGGTGATTGACGAGAATATTGTATAAGATGGATGAACGGTTTTTGTTAAAAATGAAAGCTCGTGAGATTATTTTCAGATACGTGTTGAATTATAATTGAAAAATATAATTGAGATTTGAGGGATAACGTAATACGATTCAGATATTTGTCGCGAGCGTGAAAAACCGCAATGACGATTAAAAAATACACGTGATCGACGAATACAAAATGAATGAACAGCTTTCGTTAAAAATGAAAATTTATGACCTGTTAATGAAAGATTATTTTCAGATACGTGTTTAATTATAGTATTGAGAACTATGTATTATATGCATAATAGAGATTTGAAGCACGCATAGAATATCGCATTTATAGATTTTAGGTGTTTGCCGCGAGCGAGAATCCGCGATGACAATTAAATCAGTGATCGACGAATATTAATGGATGAACAGCTTTCGTTAAAAGTGAATATTTGTAGCCTGCAGTTAACAAGAGATTATTTTCAGATACGTGTTTAATTAGAATTGAGAATTGTTACGATTTGGACTGCATGCAAAATACGATCTAGATGTTTGAATATCGCTATGATATATTTTTATCATGAATTATTACAGTTTAGCTCTAGTTCTTCCTTTTATTTTTATTCAACAAGTCAAATTGCCTTCGATTGATATCTTAAGCGTTCTACTCAATATATTTATCATTTCATAATTTTATAATCAAATTCAATGCGTTAATTTAGTGGAAATAAATTCATATAAAAATGTAAATGTATATATATTAGCACATTAATATATACCGGGCGTCCGGTAATGACCGCATAACTTCTCGTGGATCGTTAGAGCAAATACGTTAAACTAACTAGAAAAATCCTATATCATTTTGCAATTATCGCAAAAATTAACGAGAAATAAATTTATGAAGATTTAAACAAATCCGCGCGATTTAAGAACAAGAACCCACTATTTATATATACACTGTACGTATATATGTTGTATATATGTATTTTATATTTTATAATTTAAAATTCTGAAGAATTATGTCAGGATATTACGAAGATAATATCTGAAATATAGACATACATACATATATACATTGTAATTTTCTTTTTAATAATAAACTAGAACTAAACAGAACGCGCGCTTCGCGCGACCCATTTGTTCGCTATCCCTGAAATATAATACATCACACACATACACACACACATACACACGCGCGCGCACAAATATTGTATTAAATCTCATTGCTTTTATATATCTTTTACATATATCTCATGTCTTTCTATCTAAAAAAAAGGCATGTTAAGTCGATAACTTTCATTTCTCGTCTTACTTTTTTCTTTCAGGTATCAGTAAAATATTATAAAAAAATATTATAATACTGCTAACAATATCTCTTGTAATCAACAGATATGTCGAAATATGTTTTTTACAATGATTAAGAAAAAGGAATTAAAGGAATAAAATAGCGATAGAAGGAAAAAAAGAAGTGTAAAAGTTTTGAAACGAAGAGAATTAAATTCATCTTTTATAAAATATTACATAAGTACGTGTCCCTTCACCTTCGTGTGTTACATACATAATTGTCAGATGCTGTGTCTAATTATTTGCTGTGATAATCAGACACCGCATCTGACAATTATGTATATAACACACGAAGGTAAAGCGACACGTATGTAATATTTTATAAAAGACCACTGAAGAGGACTTGATGTAAAGCCGAAACGATCGTCTGCAAGTAGCATTAATATAATTTTTTATATGAATATAACGAATTAGCACGAAGACCTTGCTTGGTTCCTGATCCATTACAATTATTTATTTTTAATTTTAATTCTCGGAGCCTGAAATATATTATTGTTCAATTTAAAATATTTTTTGTGATATTTAATATACTGTATCAAAGGTTTGATACCTTTGACACTTTAATACTTAATACTTGCAAATTACATTAATGCCAGACGATCGTTTTGGCTTTACATCAAGCCTTCTTCAGTCTTTTGTAAAATATTACATACGTGTCGTTTCACCTTCGTGTGTTACACACATAATTGTTACATGCTGTGTCTAATTATCACAGCGAATAATTAGACACAGCATTTGACAATTACATATGTATGTACACGGAGAGAATTTTTTTTTAAATTTACCCTGCAAATCATGTTAATTATGAGATAATATAGTATTTAGGCAAATTTTACTGTGCACTACAATAAGATTTTGCAGTAAAATTTATTGTAGTGCACAGTAAAATTTACTTATAATACTATATTGTCTCACATTTAACATGATTTTCAGGATAAATTTTAAAAGAAAATTCCGTGTAATATACGAAGGTGAAGGGACATGTACTTATGTAATATTTTATAAAAAATCAATGAATTTAATTAGTGACCAATGAATTTTATTATTAAAAAACAAATCTCAATACACATAATAACTGTCAAAATATGTAATGACAGCCGCTCAACGAAGTAAGCATAGTGAGATAATCAATCAGCATCACAGAAAAATGGCAACAAATAATTTTGAGAAATGTGAGTTCTCGACTTAAGATGCCTTTTTTTAGGTAGGATTCAGATATTATAAACATTATAAATATTACTAAAATGCATTGTAATTATGTATAGTAGTTCATGAAATAATAATTTTTATGATTGTATTTTTCATTAATATTTACGAAAAATGTAGCAAGTATTATTTTATGCATCGTAAAGATACGAAATATGCTTTTATATGTTTTATGTGCATTTGTAAAAATATAATTCAATTACAATAACAAATATTTTTCTTTTTTTTAGAGCATTTTATTTTTAAGTTTTTTATAAGTTATGGCTATTGAAAAAGAAATAATTTTTACAAAGACACGTACGTTGCTGTAATTTATTAAAACACGTGTATCAATTAAGAAAGTTATCATTTCGAATAGATCTTTCAATCACGACGTTATAATCTCGTTTTCTTATGATGTTCTACATTTTCCTTAACTGTTGTCTTGATAATGATAAGATAATGATAAGTGCTTATAAATAACATTTCGCAAATTATAGAAATAGAAGAAAGAAGATACATCATTTGCAGTATAGATCAATATCATGGGTTAAGAATTAAACATTATCTTATAGTAAATGAGTCACGTGTTGGTCATTAAGAATATTCGTGTATGTACATATTTTCTCATTAAACTTATTGATATATTTAACTCTAGATATACATTAATACTATACGATGGGTAAATTAACTTAATTGGTTGAGTGAATTGGGGTTAAACTATTTGAACGTGAACAAGTCGCAGTGTCGTGGGCAAGTATGCGGAAAAAAATTTACTAGATGAATAAACGTATAATATTAATTACTAAAAAAATGCACAATACTAATTGTCAACGATGTCGCTCTCGTTATATTACTTACATTTTTGAAATAGCGAAAGGCGATACATGTAACGCACACACATAGCAATAAAAAAAAATCTATATATTTCTGAAAAAAAAAAAAAACAGAAAAATTTATATTAAATAAAAGATTGATTAAAAGTTGTATTTCATGGGAATAATTTTTTGTATATCTTATTGTTAATCAAAATACAATAGATATAGGCGTCATGTTATAAAATTCAAGATGTAGGAACGCGGATGGCGAACGTCATATAAATGTAAATGAAAAATGTAACCGTTTAATTTCGGGATTGCAAAAAAAAGATCATTATTTTTACGCATCTATGATTGCTTTGCGAAATTGGCTTCTCGCCGTGAAAACAACCGTAGCGAGTTAATGAATTGCAAATAATATTGTATTCCGCAATATAACGTGTGCTCGGTTTATCAGAAAATGTAAAATCTAAAATTCTGTTTCGATTTCGGCTTTCTGAACCGGGCAACAATGCATGTGTGTTTTTGTTTTAATGACGAGCTCTTTTGATAGCACATTCGAAGATCAATTAAATATGTCAGATGTAATCGCATAATCATTCGTTCCGTCGTGCGAATCACGTGTCAGACGACCGAACAGCTTTGTTCGACTCACGTCGGGGCGTTCGGAGCAGAAAAAGCAACGTATTGATGTGACTCAGATCTCTTTGTCAGGCGATTGTCAAGTGAAGTTTGCGTTATTTTCTGATAATTTACCCATCACGTGCGCAGCGAGTGACGCAGAAGTGGATAGCGAACCTCAAGTAGTATTGCCGTTAGTCGTCTAATACTCTAATAGTTACCGCCGAGAAACGTTATACATGTATGTTACGAATTACAAGACATATACGCGTGTATCTTCCAAGAGTGCGTGATGCGGTCTATCCGCGATTAATCCGATGCAGACGGCACGGCTGCATCCCGCGTGTGCGGTTTGTTGACCCGGCTTTCAGATAATGAGGCAGATAAGGGAGACGGCGGGAAAAACGTTCCGCTGCTGAAGGCGAGCTTTAGGCGCCACAACTTTCGTCATCGTCCGTCATCGTCGTCCATCATCGCCTACATCATCCGCCCACACCTCCTACTTCTTCAGCTCACCCTTACGGCACAGACTCTTCTGCGCGTGGTGTGATTAAAGCACGGCCGGCGAAGTTTCCGAGTATTTGCGCGACACGCGGACGTAGAACAAAATCGTCGGCTTCGCGGCGAGAGACGGCCCTTCTGTCGTTTTCTGTTCTTTCGCACGCGGGCGCTTTTCCTCCCGCGAGTTTCTCCGGTTTTCGCACACGGATTAGTGGAAGATCGCGATCGAGTGCTGATTACGCGGTGCCACCATGGGCTACGGAAGGTGAGTGTCCTTCGTGAGAGCACTCGATCCTTTGTGCCTCTGCGAAGCTTTCATTAGAGGATTACATCCAGCCGTTTATTGGACGCCGCTTGAGATTATTTCTTTTCTCCTACATGTGCTTGCTATGGTTAACTCGAGACTACCATACTTGGGTAAAATTTACCCGAACCATTTTTGAAGTGCGTGCCATTCCGACAGGGTTGAAGAAGAGGGGAAGTCGCGATATGAGAGGGAAAAAACTTACAAGTGTCCTTTACAACTTTCCATCATAAGCCACGTCATCGTTCCACTTGGTACTGCCATTCCAGCCACGCGTAAAATTCGACAATCGGTCTAGTTCACTCGGTCAAATAAATGTTTTTTAAAGTAAAGCCATATGAGGTATTTTTCTTTCGAAAGTACCACTCATGTTTTTTTAGAAACTATGCTTTACTTTTTTTTATTCGCCTCTGAAAAGAACTGCGATGTAAAAGAAAAATTAAGCCTTTTTCGAAAAAGATATAAAAGCTGATTTACATTTTTGCAAATTGTTCATATCCTTAAGATCTTTGAGTGTTACTATCCATTCAGTCATTTTTATTACTGGCGTATAGATTTAAAAAAATTCTAAATTAATGCGTTCGAACCGAAGTTACGCAACAAAATAGGTAGGCCGGGTAAATTTTACCCAGTGTGGTAGATTTTGGGTGGCAAATATGGTGTGTAGTCTAGGGTTAATAGTATAATAATAAATTTAGAGAATAGAGAATTTATAAAACATAAAACTAGCAGTAGGTGATGTCTAGATATTTGACGAACATGGTTACGACTTTTTGTTAGACATTTTTCTTTGTTTTATTGTATTTTTTTATTTTATAGATAAGTTAACTGCCTTCGTTTGACGATAAGCTTTGGCATTGTCGTCAATATTTTTATCGTGCCATACGTAATTTTGTTATCGCAACCAAATAGGTGTCAGTTCATAAAGCGAAGAAGCTTAAGCAAATACATACGCACGCACGCACGCACATACACATACGCATGCACGCACGCACGCACGCACGCACATACCATACGCACGCACGCACTCATTCACTCACACACGGAATGTCTATAAAGTCTGTTCTCACCTGTATACATATTTTGAAAACGGTTCAAAATTATGAAAACGCGAAATACATACACCTTCTTGTAGAACAATTTCCCCAATCCTCTTAAAAGAGTTATTCTTTCGAAAAGATTGAATACATATTTCGCGATTTTTCATAATTTTGAACCGTTTTCAAAATATAGAGGTGGGAACAGACTTTATAGACACCCTGTATATAACGATATTAAAATATATACATATATAAATTTTAATATCTTTATATTTTATAATTCTGAAATATTATTTTATGAATAATTTATAAGTTACAGTGATTCACGAAATGGTAATTAAACAAGTACCATTGTTATGAATTTCTTTTGAAAAAATATTTTTTTTCAAAATTTATGAGTTACAGTGACTCACGAAATTGACCAAATCATAACATACATTTTTTTAAAAAATTCGTGAGCGAAGATAACTCTATATTGTGCACATTTATTTATTCGTTTATTATGTTGATACTAAAATTCGCCGCTTTCATCGATTATTTTCCTCGAATCAGTTAGTCGTAAGTAATTGTTGTACATTTGATCAGTTTCGTGAGTCACTATATAAAGAAAGAACTGTCGACATATATTATTAAATTAAATTTAAATTAAAAATATTGTGTAACATTTTCGAAGTGGTATGTACATACGTGGAGAATGGAGTGTTTCGGCCAATTTCTAAATTTAACGTATTTAACGGGATTGTAACTTTATACGGCGATACGAACAGATGCGGAACAGTGCGTAGCTGAGTGGTAAAAATATCAAAGAGGGGCATCGAACTGCGTGCGCTGAAATGTAAACGAATAAACATATCATGAAATTGACCGGTTGCACACCAATTATTATGTCGGTGTTTTCCTGGCATAATTTTACAAAGTTAAAAATATCAAAACCAATTTTGCCAAATACATGCGAAAAACACTCTCCCGCTAACACGCTTGCTCGATGATGCTGGGCATTATTATAACGTAAAGAGGCGACAATTATAAATTTGAAATCCGGCTTCCATGTGTATATATAAAGCGATTAACAATATCTCGTTCTTATCAATATATTCATAAACTCGCTATATATACAGTTAGAGTCATCAATATCGATGTATGTTAGTTTTGCATGAAATGCAAGTTAAATATTCAAATGCGGAGAGCGGCAAGTACACATTGAACCAAGTTCAGCAACTGAGTTGCGCGTCGTTAAGATAATGTCCAGGTCAATACTTATGTATATTAGTATATGCAAAAGCGTTATACAGAGTGGCGCGCGAGCGTCAGACACACTGGCGTGTGACTTTATTAATAAAATTTCCCAAATAATTTGGACATTACAAGAAGAGATTTCGCGAATTTCTGTTTTCTTAACAAAAATGTCGAGACGTTATCAATACTCTTTGCGTTGAAAATGTCGAAAAACGAGTGACTTTTTTTTTAAGCTTATCGAATAATTCAGATGATTAGAGACTTATTTTTTTATTTAATTTCAATTTTATTAAATTTGCAATATATTTGAGAAATACTTTTAGGTTTAGATAGACAAAAAATGAAAATGGAAAATTTTTACGATGAATGATGATAATCTTCCGAGACTTTCTTTTGTTGGAGAAGAGAAATTGAATTTCATTACAAAATGTACAATCGAAATGTACACGGAAAAAATTGCTGTGAATGTTACAACAATATTCTCTATATTTGGAAAAGAAATGCATGTGAATTTAAGTTATATTGATGTTACATGGCATTCATCTGTTAAGGTATGCTCATCAGTACGGTTGTCACTACCGTAGTGCTTAGGATAAATAATATTCGGTTAGAATATCTTCATATATGTGGTTGCCTCAACCGAAGCATTATTGTTATCTCTCTAGTA